TCCCACTTTGTTGATGTATATACTTTAATCGTGGAAAAGGATTTCTTATTTCATGTAACCAATAAAAAAATTTCGGTCTACAAAGTGTAATTATTATGACCGGTAAAACAGGACGGTCCGGCATCACCTTAAGAGTAATGTACGTTTAATGTAATACAAAAATTATATAAATATTGATTAATTTATAAAGCTATAATTTCTTGTTTCAGAAAAAGAAAATAGCGAAAAATTTAGAATTAGAATTTTATGCGATAAGAAATTAATGATTTATTTTATGATGTACACATTATATGAAGCTAAAATGTCAATTTATGAATTATGTTAACAATTATTACTTCTTGATGTAGCACGCTGCTTGAGAAAAGATGAAACACTAAAGAAGCAAGGAGAAAATATTGAGACCTCTGTATAATTTGTCACTAGTAACCTCTTTATCCTCTAATTTAATGGAAAAGGTAAGCGAATAGGAGCCTTTTTGTAAATACCTTTCAAGGAAAAATATATATTTACATCTTTATTTAACTCTGATTTTGTTATTGACTTCTTTTCCAGGTGAATTAATGTGAACTATCTCTTTCAGAATATTTTAGAGAAAGAAAAGCTAGATTCGGTGGAGAACAGTAGAGCGACAAAATATTTCAGAATAAAGTTAAGAATATTAAATGTGATACTTGGTGTTATATAAAAATATGACTATATCATTCTTAATGTTTTTTTCAATTTCAACAAAACCTTAATTAAAAAGCAAATAAAAAGTACTATCTTTTGTAAATACCATTATTACTTCAGTATTAAACTGTTAACAATTTGTTTGCTTTTTTATATGATTTTATATTGAACTCAAGTTTTTTTATAAGAATAAGTATAGATTAGAGAAATATAACTATATTTACTAATAAATTCTAATCTGATCCTCCTAATGTTTTAACTTAATAAACTCACATATGTGCAATAAGTCTTTAGTGACATGTTGCATATATACGATTTGATGAGAACAGAAATATTAAAATGAAAATCATATTACAGATTAATAATTTTATTAATACAATAAATTCATTTATATTTTTCTAAGTACGATATTAAATCATAAAAAATAAGTAAATTAAGTATTAACAGTTTAAAACTGAAGCAATAATAGTATTTGCAATGTATATTGCGTTTGCATTTTATGTATATCAGCATTATCTAAGAGTGATATATCTTCATAGGCAATTATCTGGAGAGAGTAATGATAGTGAAAGAGAAATGTGCCACCATCTGCCACTTTTGGACAATAGTGATGTACATAACAGTTTTGTTGATAACGTGAATAACATAAATTAATAATACTAATCTACATGGTCATTTTTGTATGTAACACACTAAGTATCATTTAACAATCTTAATTTTATTCTGAAATATTCTATCGTTTAGCTTTTTCATCGTATTTCATCGAAGTTGGTTTTTCTTCCACCAGTTTGTTCTTTTTCTTCCCTCTTTTCTTTTAGTCGATCAGTCAATCTTCCTAACATCATAAAATCATCATAAAGTAAACATTATAAAATAAATTTGTAATTTCTTACCGCAGACGTTTTCAGGGATATGTCTAATTAGTTATTTTGATAGTAATAGTTTGATAACCATTGATAGCACGATATCAAATCGTTTTACATTTTTCTTTTCATTTTTTTTCATTCGTTCTATTTTGTAATTGCATTCGAGGATAATGCAGAATCTATAAAATATAAAAGTATCTTTCATAAAAAGATATCTCCTTGAATAAGTTAATAAATTAAAATATAGAAATAAGTAAAAGTGAGAACAAATCTGTATAAATTATCAATTGAAATTTCTCAACCAATTCATTTTTATTGCCCGCACTAAAAAATACTTTCCTTTCGCTCCCAAAGTGACTGGCGATGAGAATAGGTAACGCGTCTCGCTTCGAAAAATTGCAATCTCATGTACAACATTTTATTAATCTTTTAATCTTTTACTTAAGGATATTTTTAAAAACATTCTGTGTATATATCACAGGTTATGTTTATCACGACGCATGCTGATATCTCGTTGATATGTTGATATGACAGATTTCCCAATCTTAAATACACAAAAATTCGTTGATAAATGTTTAGTTTCTCCCGCTCATCTTAGATTTTAGTAAAATGGATTTATTTAATGTCTTCCATCTAATTTCTATCATGTTCTTTAAATGCATAGCTTTTAATGGTGTATTATTTTTTTGATAGAGTACCGAGTAATGATTTTTATTTTTCTAACACTTGTTTTTATACGAAAAAACATTAAAGGAATATATTTTTATCAAAATTTAAGATGAGAAATTAAATATTTATCAACAAATTTTTAGTGTATTTATGGTTAGGAAATCTGTCATATCAGCGAAATACAGCTATATTAGGGCTACGTTCGGAAACACCACCTGTTTGCACATGAGCGTTATTCTATCTTTGTTATTTACTAAAAGTTGAACAAAGATAGAACAAAGCTCGTGTGCACACGGATGATTTTTTCGAACGCAGCCCAGCATGTGTCATGATAGATATAACCTTAAGCGAGTATCAGACTACGTATTGAAGATTGAAATTTGACCAATCAAGATAAAAGGAACTAAAATTTCCTTGTCCTGATTGGGCAATCTATCAAATTTCAATCTCAATGCATAGTCTGATACGGGTTTTAGAACATATATAAATGGAAAAAGAATAGCAAGCTGAAATGTGTCCGAAGGAAGTAAGAAAAAAAATCGTAGTTGCTTCTCTCTTATGAGTAACTGTTCGAAAGTGCGCATGCGCGCCATTTGTTGACGCATACAAGCATCGTATCCATCGTATCTGTAGATATACATGTTCAACATGTGACCTTAGAACATATATAAATGGAAGGGGAAT